GATAGAGCCGGGGGTCCCTCGCTGCCCCCAAAACCCCCGGGATCAGAGCGGGATCGCGTTTTGGGGCGGGACCGGGGCTCTCCCCCGCTGCTCCCCCGGAATTTTCCCCATATCCAGGGCTAACCCCTCGCTCCCCGCAGCCGACCTGTGCCGGGACAAGTTCTCCAAGTGCGGGGTGATGGCCACGAGCGGTTTGTGCCAGAGCGTGGGAGCGTCCTGCGCCCGCAGCTGCGGCGGCTGCTGAGCCCCGGCCCCGCTCCGGCCCCGCTCCGGCCCCGCTCCGGCCCCGCTCCGGAGCTCCCGGGCATCAACGAGCAGCTCCCCGAAATCCCGGGAATTCCCTCTCTCTCTGGGTTTTTTTTTTTTGTGCACATAATAATTAAAACGGGCAAGGGGGGGGGTTATTGTTTCTGTGCCTTTCTCTGTTCTGCGGCGGGGGGAGAGCCCCGGTGGGACCCTGCGGCTCCCGGCCCCTTCCTGTGGGATCATTCCCAATTTTTGGGATTCCTTCCTTTGGGATCATTCAGAGTTTGGGCTCCTTCCTTTGGGATCATTCCCAATTTTGGGCTCCTTCCTTTGGGATCATTCCCAGTCTTTGAGCTCCTTCCTTTGGGATCATTCCCAATCTTTGGGGTTCCTTCCTTTAGGATTATTCCCAATTTCGGGAGGAGTTTCTGACAATCAATTCCCAGCCCTGGGCACTGGGTCGGGGGAGGGGGTCGGGGGATTTTGGGATGTAAAATGATCGATTTTGGTGGGCGTTGGGGGATGTGGGGGCTCAGTTTGGGGCGGTTCCTGCAGGAAGAAATATTTGGAATAAAGTCTGAGTCACTTCCAGACAGTAAAGGGGTTTGGGGTGGATTTTGGGGTGGTTTGGGGTGGATTTTGGGGCTGTGTTTGGAGCTGTTTTGGGGGTGGATTCGAAACGGATTTGGGGGCGAATTTGTGGTGGTTTTGGACCGATTTTGGGTGGGTTTGGGCTGGTTCTGGGCTGGTTCTGGGCCGGTTTTAAGTGCGGTTTGGGCTGGTTTTGGGATAGATTTGGGGTATTTTTGGGCTGTTTCGGGGATGGTTTCGGGCTGTTTTTGGGCTGTTTCGGGGATGGTTTCGGGCTGTTTTTGGGCTGTTTCGGGGATGGTTTCGGGCTGTTTTTGGGCTGTTTCGGGGATGGTTTCGGGCTGGTTTTGGGCTGTTTCGGGGCCGGTTTTGG